AAGGGTTAATCAGCTGATCGATTGGTCCCTGAGCAGCCAGGACCTGGCTCCTCTCTGACTGGCTCTAGCCTGGCCTTGGGGTAAGAGGTTGGGAACTTTTAATTATCCGCCACAGCTACTGCTCTGATTGAATGGTCAATGGGTTTACTACTGAGGTGGCGCTGCTTGAATAATAATAGAAAACAATGTGAACACCAGCGAGTACAAACAGAGGGCCAGAAAAGGCACTTGGATATGTAGAATACACGTTAAGACGAGTTAATTGCCTGGCAGAAATCAAATTTCAAAGGTCTGAGAGGTGTTTTATCCAAGTGGGGTAGGTGCTGGGGGAAACAGCAGCGAGAGGGCTTCTTCCTTTGTTTCTCTTGGGTCTGTGACCGTTGCTTACACACTGTTGCCCCAGGACAAAGGATAACGTGCTATCCCCAGTGGTTAAAAAATGATCACTGGAGGAAATTCGTATTTTGACATTCACGGGCACTGTCAGGGTTTAATTATTTTTCTTTGTGAACTTCCTTGAAAAGGAGCAATCGCCCCTCCCCCAGTTGCACCATGTAGGATGTGCTTATTAGGTGCATGGGGGGCGGGGGGAGGGGGTGAGATGGGGTGCCCCTCCCTCCCAGACACACGATTAAATGATGCCAAAAAATATATTGTGTACATCCAGGAGCTTTAAAAAGCTTTGTTCAACTGCGTGGTTTGGAGACCTTTCTTTCCACTTTACATTCCCCAAACAGAATAAATCATTAATCCAATAACTCGCTATAACATGCTGATCTTTCCTTTCTCTGATAAAACAGCTCACTTGTGGTGGTTCCTTCTTCCCTTGAAGATAAAACCAACAAGTGCCTCAGAATAAAAATGACATCTGTGTTCAAGTCCTCTGAGAGTGTCGCAGTGGCAGCAAATGCCCCAAAAGGGCAAGATAACCAGCCGGCAGCTCTGTGCGCTGGCAGGGAGGTTAGCAAAAGATGTGAGCCATTTCATAGGGCTGCTGAAAAGGATGTTTGGGTTTAATTTTTTTTAAAAAAAAAAAAAAAGGAAGAAAGAAAAGAATGGTCCATTTGGCACAGAGACCAGTGTTTGGAGGGATGTGGGAAAATGTCAACTAGAACCCCTTTGGAAAGTGTCAACCAGGATCCTGCTCAAGACCCTCGGATTGTCATAGATCAGAAATCATCCTATTTCAGCAGATTCTGTGTTAAAAATTTGCCTTTCTCCAGTGATTTCACATAAACACGGAGTGTTCATCAGGCTCCGCCAGAGTCATTACTATTTATATTACCATACCCTGGCTGTGTGCAGTCAATTCATAATTGTCCAGTTTTTCTAATTAATCACAAAAGATTTTTGTTTTGCCTGCAGCTAGTTCTGGGGTGACTCACGATGGCAAGCCAAAGCTCATACATCAAACACAGGCCCCTTCTCACTCCGGCCTTCTGCTGGGGAATGCTGCTCGGGCTTCTCCAGAAAGGCCCGCACTGGGCATGTGCGGCCCCAGGCAGAGGAGAAGCCGGGATCTGTCCTCTACTGTGTGACTTGTTATTTTTATCTGATGCTTGCATTCTCGGGCCAAATCAGATCCAGAGAGCCCAGCAAGGTTTCCAAATCCAGAGCCCTGCTGCTCTGGTTCCTTTTTCTCCCTCTCTCCTGTCTTCCTCCTCTTCGTCTTTTATCAAATTGTTAAAGACTGTAGCGCTTCCAAAAGAGAGATCATGATACCATTTTTCATAGTCGTCAGTCCGTTCAATGGTGACCCTTCATAGAGGCAGCAACAAAGCATGTCACCAGGAGAAGGAAAAGAAAAAAAACCACAGTTTCTGTATTTTATCCTAGCAAATCCACGTCACAACAGGGCAACAGGAAATAGCTGAGTAATGTGCAGTTTATCTTATTAAAAGGTGTTTCAGCAAGTGACCAGTGGGAAAGGCGTCTGGTGCAAACAACCCCCAGGGACGCTGGGAAGGAGGCCGGGACCGCCGCTGGCCTCCCCTTACAGAAATGAGCAGAGGGGCACCTGGGAAGGAGCCAGGCAGAGACTGTCCTGTGGAGCCTGCATTGCGTGCGAGGAGTTTCAAGGTGAGATCAATCTGTTTGGAAGATCTCCTCTGATCACATGCCATCCGCACTGGCGCTGGCATAAGGTCAGCACAGTGACCGGAGCAAGCACGCTGCTTGCTCAACAGCTCTGCGCAACCCTCAGGATTCAGTCAGACGCTTGGGAGATGTCAGACAACTCCTGGCTGCTGATTTTATACATTGATTAACTTTACAGGCCTTGTTTATTCATAAATGTTCTTGATGTGTTGTTCTTGATATCTACATGTTAACATAACAGATATATTCCATGCAGCACTAGATGTGCAGGTTCCCTTGTGTAAGACACTGCTCGAAAGGTTGCAAGGCTCCACTGGCCCATGTCACCAGACCCCCTTTCTCCTTTGGGTCTCACTAGACATCATCACCTCCTCTGAGAAGCCTCCCCTGACCACTTGCCGCCACGCCCGTGCTCACCTGCTCCTGCCAAACTCTTAGGTACATCTGCCTGCACCCCTCCAAATGCCTGTGCGGCGTCTGTCGCAGCCCACGTCACACACTGTTGAGATTGTTGTCGCACCCGCCCGGCCCCGCACGCACCTGCGAGCTCTGTGAGCCGAGATCGCCGTGTGCACCCACGGCTGGGCACACAGCTCCGCACGCGCCGCTGACCAGAAGGGATTTATCATCGGATAGGAAGGTCGCGGTAAGTGTGAAGGAGGACGCCGCAGAAACATGACTTTCCACATTTATTTCCCAAGTTATTTACATTATTAGGGTTATATTAACCCACCACTCCCTACTCCCTCCCTGGTGATCTGTTGACTCCAGAGAGTTAAGTCTCCCAGGCCAGCCCTGCATTCCTTACGTGCCAGATCAAACCCTTGACATTGAGTTCATTTTGAATCATAATAACAATAAAAATAAAGAGGGCTGTTATTATCCTCCTGATTAGGGAAGACCAAACATACCTGGATTTGTGTTTTGGCTCTTGGCTTTTTCCCTTTCGGAAACCTATTTGCATCTATGAGGGGCAGGAGCAGGGTTAGGGGACATCAAAGGGACAGCTGCTTGCTTGGTCTAATTAGTCTGATTTTCATTCTTTATCAAAACACTGGGGAAGGGGAATTCCAGATAGTCCTTGAATCTCTGTGAGGTAAAACAGTTTTTCAGATGGGAAGGCTTGGGTTTTCTTTAACACAATGGCTGAACAATTGACAAAAAACCTGAGATCGTCAGCCCTTTGGACTTCATATTAATTCATAAATTTTTACTGAGCACATGCTGGGTGCTGCAGTGGGTAGCACAGGCCTGCACCCTACCCTGACTTACGACAAACAGGGAGCTTGCTTGTCGTCTGGGGAAGCCAACCTACCCAGGCTGATGGGATTAAGAAAGGATGCTGGCCCGGCACGGTGGCTCACGCCTGTAATCCTAGCACTCTGGGAGGCCGAGGCAGGCGGATTGCTAGAGGTCAGGAGTTCAAAACCAGCCTGAGCTGTGAACTAGGCTAACACCATAGCACTCTAGCCCAGGCAACAGAGTGAGACTCTGTCTCAAAAAAAAGAAAGAAAGAAAGGATGCTATGATCACACCACTGCACTCCAGCCTGGGCAACACGGCAAGACTCCTCTTCACTAAAGGAAAAAAAAGTTTCTCCCTTCTTAAAGTGGAGAATAATAGAAATGATATTTATTCAATCCTCTACAAGTGGCATTAAAAAAAAAAAAACCTGTAATGATAGGATAAACCACATTGAACTATCAGAAGATCAACACATTATAACCACAGAACATTTTCCTCTCCCCCCACCACTCCCTGTCCCTATTCTCACCTTTTCATGAGGGCAACAATAGACACTTGGCTAAAGGAAATTACTGATTGCAGAGAACTGCTACCAATGACCCTCAGAATACAGTCACGCAGAAAGGGAACTTTGAATCTATTTGAAAATTCTAGAGGCAAAAATTCTATTATCTGAAACTAAAAGTGAGTTAGAAATTTAAAAATATCAACAGCAAGAACATTTCATATCAGTAACAACTCTAGGCACAGTTAAGTATCCTATCAGGTTTCTAGTTGTATTTTTTCACTTATTTGTAATATCCTAGACAGTCAATTTCTCCTTCCCCAGAAAAGGATTCTGAATTCTCAATATGAGCCCTTTTTCCCCCTAATAAAGAATAACTACACAAGTGGTTTTAAATTCTCTAATGCTCATATAATAAGGATCTTGATACTAAAAATAGGCACTCTCCCAGGTAGCTGGATAAGAGCAAATTCCCTTCATACCCCTCTCAAGGAGTTTTCAAAAATGAAAGAGAATAGCTTCGTTTAAAAAAAATACTATATGTAATGGGGAAAAAAATCTCCAAGTAAGTAAAAGACTACTAAACACAATACAACTCTTCTTTCATTTAACTGAGATAGTTATATGGAATAACAGAATTCCAAGGCAACAAAAGAATTTCCATGGCATCTTAGAGCCTATTGAAAAAAAGATTTGAATCCAGGGTGAACACAAACACCGACTCATGTGGCCAGGAAGGGAGGTGGTATAGGAAAATCTCCTCAACTTCACTACTGGCTATTAGACCAAAAGTTGAAAAATAAGGAAGAAGCCAGGCATGGTGGTGCACCTGTAGTCCCAGCTACTTGGGAAGTGGAGGATCTCTTGAGCCCAGGAGTTTGAGGCCAGCCTGGGCAACACAGTGAGACCCTGGTCTCGAAAAAATTAATAAAATAAAATATAAAAATAAGGAAAGATAAAAAAAATTTAGGATTTGATTGGAGAGAATTTTTGTAGGAACAAAAGAGTTCCTCTTTTCCAATCATTAAAAGGTTTCCTTATTTTCCCTTCCACTTCCAATTCCAATTCTACCTCTCCCCCTGGAAGATGCTTCCAGTTTCTCTTCCACAGCTGGGAACCTGACCTGAGGAGGGACCTTTTCAGGAAATCTCACTTGTTGTGGTTGGAAAAAGCCATTGGAAGCCTCCAGCACAGTCCCTGGCCTGGTCTGCATACCTGAGCACACAGCTACAGAGCTCACTTAAACCTAATTCTAGAGCTAGAATTAGCACAGAAAGCCGAGTTCCAGAATGAGCCAGCCATTCTTTCCAGAGATTCCCTTAGTCAACTGGAGCGGAGACCTCCTTCCTCCCGGCAATGGAGCAGGAGAGCAGAACGGAAGCGGGAAGAGGTCACCGACCGCACTGCCTCCTCACGATGTCCAGGGACACGTGGCCCCGTGGGATGGACGGAAGCCTCTTTGTGCACTGGGGTCACCTTTGTCCCTGGCTCTCAGTAAGGACGAGCACAGGTCTCTCAGCATGCTGAGGTGGTTAAGCAGCACCATTAAGCCCAGGCAAAGCAAGGTGTCGGTTTTCCATTCCACCTCCCCCATCCTCTTTGTTGCCAGTCCTGTTTTCATTTTTACTTCCAGATTTTTAGTCAAAGGGAAGATACTGTCATGGATTTAGGCACTTAATCTATTTATAAATACCCTCAAAATAAAAATCTAAGCTAAAAACAACCTTCAAAGACTTGCTCTTCGAATGAGTCTTTTCCTGGAAAGGATAGAAATTAAGAATGAAACCCAAACCAACAAAATAGCATCTCATTGAAAAGCCCACTTCTCCTGTAACTCTTGAAGACTTGCAGATGAGTCAGGACAAGGCAGGAACCTGAAACTTCAAGTCACTTTAGTTCAGATGCTGTGATTTTTCATCCTTTGGCTAAAGCTACAATTACAGAGAAGGCTCTCAATCACTGGTATTCTGGAAGTGAGTCATCGGATGAACTGTGAATGGAGCTATTACTGAGCGTCTGCTCTTCTGAGACAGAGAGAAGTGGATTGAGGTGGAGTTTTTGCTGATTTATAAGCATTAAATCAGATGAGGATAATGGCCGATATGCCTAGCTTCCTCAGAACACCGTATGAACAGCAATCATTCTCCAATACCTGGAGGAGTAGCTCACAACACGCAGGTAATATAAGCAGCAGGAAAGGAGGTTGAAAGTGACTTTCTGTCATCCCCGCATTAGTGGAACGGCAAGATGAATGTTGCGTCTTGAAATGCCTAGCATTTTTTTGCCTGCTATTATTAACCTTGCATGCTCTGAGCAGCACGGGGTCCTAGAGAGAAAGGTTATAACAAGTGGATATTTGAGGGCAGAGATTGCTATCACCGGTAGGCTGAATTGTATTTGCTTCCTTTTTAACCTTCCTTTGTGTTTGCCATCCAGTGCTGAGATGCAGCCGCTGCTTCCCAGCCTACGGACGTCACACAGGCAGCAGCTAAATGGAGCTGGGCTCGGCGCAACGTTAGATTCAAATAAAGCACCTCGGAGGATGAAACCGATGCTCTTCCAAGACAGTAGAGAAGTTCCCATCAGAGAAGTGCTGACTGCTGTGTCCCCAGTGCCAACGACAAACATCATAAGGGACTTTGTGTTTTATAGCATCTTCTCTCTTGGTGTGAGTCCTATACTCCGATTTTCTTTTTTATCAGGCTAAAGAGGATATATTTTATTATAATGGCTTTATATCCAATGTGTACAGGCCAACACAAATAGGGTATTACAAGTTAAAGAACTCTACCTCAGGCACCATTTTATTAGAACTAGTGTTTACATCAAACAATACATCCTAAGTACTTTATATTAAGCGTGGACAAATCATTTGCCTGAGGATTAGGTGTTGTGCCATTGAAACGTAATCCTTCTGTTGATTTTTTCCTTAACTGCCAAACCAAACATGGTCAAAGAAGAAACTGCAAAAGCTGCAATGGGAGCAATCTTATCCTACATTCAAGCATAAAATAAAAACAGAAGCTGAAACTAGCGTAATGCCACAATAAAAATTGCAGTATTTCTTTCCGGCGCACACCCATCTCTGTGGTGTCTAATATATTTAATATAAGTTTGCTTTGATTATGCGAGCGTACTAATTACAGTGCATTTTCAAAGCACTGTATAAAGGAGAAAAAGGAAAGCCTACCAACGTGCTGAGTTTCCACCAAGCTGGCATGCTCCAGAGTAACCCACTTGGCTCTTTTGCTCAATTATCCCATCCTAAAAGGCAAGAGAGTGAGGGGGAAAGTACAGGTTCACCATGGCAGGTGACTTTACTCTCGCAGGCCAGAACCCTATTCTTTGGGACACTGTAAAAATGATTTGTAAACAGTCATGGAGCATATTTTAAAACTAGAGATTTGTTATATGTAGGGTCTTTAAGCTTCTATGCCGTGGGATTTGTCTTATAGGCAAGGACACATTATTTAAAAAAAAGAAAAAGAAAGTCCAAATGAGATATTATAGAAAATCCTTGCTTTATTGCAAATTCTATAAATAAAGATGTGCCAAGTCGAAAGGACACAAATTAGCATAATATGCTGGTTAAGAATGGAGTCAGACTTTCTGAGCTTGAATCTTTGTTCTGCCACCTGCTAGCCGTTTAATCTTGGATAATTTGCTTAACCTCTCTGGGCTTCGGTTTCCTATAAAATGGGACTAATAATAATAATACCTGCGTCCTAGGTTTCTGTGAATGTTAAATCTCTTAGCCTCTTCCCGTCACTTAGCACTAGCCACAGTGCTGCATTCAGGGGGAAGGGTCTCTGCTTTCCATCTTCAGCTCTCTGTGCCTCCCAGACAGTTTCTCCATCAGAACAGAAATAAGCTATACCTTGGAGAACTCCGATCAGAGGCGACAGTTCTTGAGTGGGCAGGAGCTATGCTCACTTCTGTGACCCAGGTAAGGCTGGTCACCTCAAAATCTCAACAATGACTTTCCTTCTAGCTTAATTGTAATGCAGATACTTCTTCCTGCATCTATCTGCTAAAACCATGACACCTGCACAGGTGTACCAAGCAAGAACATGGGAAATGCAATTATTTTCCAAATAATGATTGTCTTGAGCAAAGATCGCAACCCTATTGGAGAACTTTTAAAGGTTACAAATAATCAAACAGAATAGTTGGTTAAGTTACTGAAGGCTTGATTGGATTTATTAACTCACTTAACAAAACTTCTATTGATTGCCTAATTCATGGCAGGCATTGTTCTTGCTATAAGGTTACAAACCAAGGGACTACACAAGTGTATTCAATCATTCATTCATGCATTCATGCACTCGTTCCTTCATTTAGCTAGCATTTCTGTGCCAGTCACTGTGCCAGACACACTGGTAATCGAGACAGGGGTACCAGTGTGCCCCTGGGGATATACCAGTAAGTGAGACAGAGGCATTCTCTGCCAATTCTTGCTTGATAGTTTTCTGAAAATAACCAACACCTTGTAAATACTCATCAAATACTTATTGCCTGAGAAATTACATGAATCTTCTCTTGTCAACAATATCCAGATCTTATTTTTGTTGTAGGGCTTTAATCCAACCAAGTCACAAACCAGAGAAGTTAAACATGTTCAAAATGAGGGTCCCCTTGGCAATCGGCTTCTGACGGACTCATTCTCAGGTCCACTTTGTAATATTTAAGTAACAATATAAAGGGGAGAAGTCCTCATTTCAGAGGTTCAGGAAGCGCTCAAAGGGACCAACAAAGAAGGTGAACGTGTTCCTTGAATCCAGTCTTCCTGAATATACCTCTATCTCTGAAAAGAAAAGGAGGCGTGTGGAAACTGTACAACTGGTGTTTCTTTCCCACAGAACTGCCTAGACAACATTAAAAGCCAAATTCCATTACCCATGTATTTTCCTGAACAAATAAAGTGTAGAAAAAACCGATGGTCTGAGTGGTGTAAGGGGAATGGGATCTTCTCCCTTCTAAGGGTTAGTGTGGAAAAGTTCGGGAACACGAGGTCCTCTCCTGCATCAGTAATTGCCTTATTTGCAACTCCAGGTGAATCGCTTCCTCCCCTTTCAATCTGGGGTGAATTTAGGAGAATTCTCAGCAAACCCACCCTGAGCCTCTCATCAGCTTCATGGCATATAGGACAGAAGAACTTGCACACAGTTTTATGCACCACAATAGGTTGCATTTGTCTTCAAGAACCCTTCATTCTATAAAAATAAAATTTTTTTAAAAAAGTTCTAAGCTAACACATAAATAGAGTGGCACTCATGGGTTTTATTTACTCCTTAGCATTAAACATTTATTTCTAAACATAGAACTAATTCCTTTCAACCTCAGTTTTTCACATCTTCAGGAGTAGCAGTTGCATACTAAAACTGTTTATTTGAAGAATATTCCAGTCATTAACACATTCATGCCTTTACTTGGTATTTTACAGGAATTAGTAAATCTTTAAATACTTAAAACTTTATCAAGCTAAATAAAAATCAGAAATATTACAGAGTTCTTTTCAAGCACCAGTCTTACCTGTCTCCACAATCTTGATTCTGTTGGTAGGTGAATTTCCTCAGTATAGCTCTTGACATTTTTTTTTTTTTTTTTGAGACAGAGTCTCACTTTGTTTCCCAGGCTAGAGTGAGTGCCATGGCGTCAGCCTAGCTCACAGCAACCTCAATCTCCTGGGCTCAAGCAATCCTTCTGCCTCAGCCTCCCGAGTAGCTGGGACTACAGGCATGCGCCACCATGCCCTGATAATTTTTTCTATATATATTAGTTGGCCAATTAATTTCTTTGTATTTATAGTAGAGACAGGGTCTTGCTCTTGCTCAGGCTGGTTTCGAACTCCTGACCTCGAGCAATCCACCCGCCTCGGCCTCCCAGAGAGCTAGGATTACAGGCGTGAGTGAGACACCGCGCCCGGCCGCTCTTGACATTTTAACATAGAGAACTTCCGTTGTTCTCAGCCTTAGATTTCTCCAACCATTCCCTAAAAGAGAAACATTTTGACAATTGACACTATATAATGTTTTTCTTCTTTACAGATAGGAGGATTTTCTAGTATTAATCTCCCATGATTCTCCTAAATGTCACAAATCATTTCGGAAATCGGAAGTGGATTTGTATATATAGCTCTCACATGTATACCTCATTATATAGCAATCTGATACACTGAAATTCACTATTATAGAATTTAGAAACTAGCAAACTAACTCAAT